TATCACCAGCTTCCTTGTCCCCTTCTGCCTTCTGGCCCTTGTCACTGGACTCCTGTACCTCGTTAGTCTCATTTGGTTTTACGGGCACCAGCCTGTTTTTGTAAATAAAGTTTCATTGGAATACGGCCAGAATCATTCATTTTGTATTACCTATGGTTGCTTTTGAGCCCTGATGGCACACTGGTTAAGTGCTCGGCTGCCAACTGAAAGGTTGGCAGTTAGAACCCACCAGCCACTCTGCAGGACAAAGATATGGCAGTCTGCTTCCATAAAGATTTACAGCCTTGGAAACTCTATGGGGCAGTTCTGCTCTGTCCTATAGGGTCCCTATGAGTTGGAATCAATTCAGTGGCAATAGGTTTGCTTTTTTGGTTATGGTTGCTCTTGCCTACAAAGATAAGAAACTGTATGGCCCACAAAGCCTAAAACATTGACCATCTGGCCCTTTACAGAACAAGTTTACCTTCATCTGCCTTATATTATCAACTTTGATACAGAACTTCGAATACTGCTATGGTTAGTCCTGTTCAGTTTTTGTAATTTTTGTTACTGTAAGAAATGGTAGAATATTTATTTGATTGAGGCAAGAGAATAAATGATTTAATATAAGCTGTACTACTGAAAATAAAAAGTAAAATTTGCTCTAGGTCCTTTTTTGGATTTTATGGATAATGAGTACTGAAAGTATTTTTTCCCCCTTTAAGCTATTTGAAGATCAAGAGTTATTGCTGTCTTGGAGCTACAATTAGGAGTCATGACTTTTTATTAAAATTTTAATTTTAACTGTCCCAAGGCAGTTTTTTCTGTAGGAACTATCAACAGTACTTTAGGCAGTAGTTACAACAGTCATTAGTAATAAAAGGCCAAGTACAATCATTTAGCAACAAGAGGCAGGATAAATTACCCACTAACATTGTAACTATTTCCTGAGAAATGGAAGCATTACTAAATTTTATGTAAATGTACAAAGTATGCCCAGGGGGTTTTCATGAGTTAAGGTCTCATGAAATTGTACTATCTTATCCGGATTAAAAAAAACAAGCTCATTGCTGGCGAGTTGATTTCGACTCATAGTCACCCTATAGGACAGTGTAGTACTGCCCCATAGCGTTTCCAAGGAGCGGCTGGTGAATTCAAACTGCAGACCTTTTGGTTAGCAGCCAAGCTGTTAACCACTGCACCAGGGCTCCTTATCCATGCACACATACGTAAATTTTTCTATGGAGAGTAACTAGGTAATTTGAGATTCTTAATTCTTAAAACAACAACCAAACAGGAAAAAACAAAACAAAACAAAACTGAATGCTTAAGTTAAAAAGGAGTTCTTATAAGCAAACTAGAGGCCAGAATATATTTAAATTCAGTCTCATAATTACTCATAGTGGTTAGTGCTATTCTCAACATAACTAAGGCATGCTTTTCGGGACCCCAAACTAAACGATAGAATATTTACATAGCATGCTTTGAAGGTAACAAGGTAGGCAGTATGTCTTTTAATACCTACTACAAACTTAAATATCTAATATAAAAAACAATTACAGTTCTTATGTCTTTTGACACAGATTAAATAAGGAAATTGAGATACCTTTTGTCTTATTTCAAAGGAAGCCATGAACCACCCAGGCCATCTTAGACTGTTCGTGACAAGGATCATGCAGGAATTTGAAAGCGACACATTTTTTCCTGAAATTGATTTCAAGAAATATAAACTTCTTCCAGAGTAAGTAAATGTTATTAATTAATCTGAAGTACTTATTTAGGATTTCTGCTTAGGAACTACACTCATTCCTCACTTATTGACATGGTTAGGTTCCAAAGACAGGTCGTTATGTGAAAATCGACATTATGCAAAAATGGAGGATGACCACCCACATCAGATCACAAATGGAGGATGCTACATCATTACATAACTGCCAAATTACATCATTACATAACTGCCAAACCACTGAGAATCGTGACCCAGCCAAGTTGACACATAATCGTCACAGCCAGCGTTACTCTCACCTTAAACCTCGGTGTTCATTACTGCCAGACGAACATCGTTAGTGTGCAAAGTAGTCAGATAGTAGACTTTTTTTACTATTGTCGTAAATGCGAAATGTCAGATAATAAGATAGTCAATAAGCGAGGGTAGGTGTGTAGAAAAGATCATGTCTTTTCAGACTGAATTCAGGGTAGCAATGTATCTTAATTATAGCTACCATAGGAATTTTTGGAAATCTGCTATAATAGACTTGGGAATGTTCCAAGTAATGATTTTACTGAAATACAGAAGAGTAGTCATTAATTCGTTCTACGAGATTTATTTTCAGCATCTGACACTGTTCTAGGCACTGGGGAAGCAGTCATTACCAAGACAGGTGATGTCCCTGCTTCCCAGAAGCCTACATTCATTCTAGTAGAAGAGGAAGGTAACAACAGAGATACATCGGAAGAGGTGCTATGCAGAGAATTAGAATATCGTAATGTGGTAGATACTGTGTAGTCTGAGAAGTCCTCTCCTAAGACATGATTGAGGTCTACATTGAGATCTAAATGACGGGAAGCCAGTCATGCAAAGAGCAGGGAAGAGCATTCTAGACACAGGAAATAGCTAGTACAGAGGCCTGAGGACAGAACAAGCTTGGCGTATTCCCGAAGCCTAAAGGCCACTGTGAGGATTGTGAGCTGGGCGTGGGGGAGGGTGGTACAGTCCAAGCAGAGGTTTAGATGGTTCTGAAAAGAGAGTGCCATTGTTCTAGCTACTTTATGAAGAGTAGATTGTAGGGGGACAAGAGTGAAGCAGGAGGACCAGTTAGGAAGTTATTGAAGTAGTTCAAGTGAAAGATGAAGAGACTTGGATTAAGGCGGTAGCAATGGTGGAGATGGATAGAAGAAACAGGTTACATTTGCTTTACTGTAGTTGCAGTTTTTAGCATGAGGCTGCCCGATTTTGAAAATTTATAAAATTTTAGTTTAGAACACTTTTCAGTTGTTGGCTACGGAGAATAAAAGTAAGAGAAATTAAGTAGCTCCATGCTTTTAGACCAGCTTTCTTTTAGATCGGCACATTCTTTCAGATATTCTCAGTTGTAGCAAGTCATTATTCTCTGCATGTAAATTTGTTTTTTAAAATGCCCTCTAAAAGAACATTCAGAACCAAGTCTGAATAAATGCATGGTCAAGCATTAAAGTAATAGTCTTTAATCAAATGAAATGTTTGACTGATTGTCTTTAGCGCTTAACTAGCTTTAAAGAAAATTGGAAATTATAACAACTCATAAGTTTCTAAACTGTTAAAATGCAGGCTTTTGATTATAGTCTCCAAAAGTGACTACTTGCAAAAATCACACTTATGTTGATATGATTTCACGTACTTACGTGGAAATCGGTTGTATTACTTTGTCACACCTTTATATATTTTCTCTACTGCTTAGATTCATGATTCTTACCTTGTGTGACTATCGATCTCTATTGTGCCTCATTTATCTTTTTCTTTGCTACTAACAAGAAGAATAGATTATTATGTGAACCAGCTTCATATTAAATACCCTTCCAAATCCTATTGCTCTCAGTTTTCATAGCTGTGACCCTTTAGGATCCTTGACAACTTAAAACAAATACCATGCCAATAGCATAGTCATTACTAAGTTGTTATTATTCATGGTTTCAGAAATAACCTCTTGATAATTTGCTTTTGTCTTAATAACTGATGAATCTTGACACTCCTGAGAATTAGAGGAAAAAATGTAAATGTTGCTTTTTGTGACTCATTCCAAAGAAATTAAAATTACGATTTAAAGTTGGCCTAGTAAAATTATTTCTTTAAAAAGATGGAAGTTTGAGGGAAGAAGGATATACTACTACTGACACAGTGGACCAAAAACAGATGAAAAAATGTCTGGTATATAGAAACACAGCTTCTTCCTCTGAAATACAAATCTTTCCAGAGAAAACACCTTTTCCTTACACATCACTATGCTATTATTACTTCATGTCTCTAGTGTTGTTTTTCAGCAAAATGACATAATCTCTAATTAGTCAATTCAGCATTATGTTAGAGATCCTGAGATTTAACATTTTTTCCTGTATGACCCCTGACCTACAAGGAGTTTAGAAAATAGGGGGACAAAACAAACTAATAATATCAGTGGGTAACATTTGCAGAGCACCTCACATTTCAGGCACAATGCTAAATGCTTTGCAAGAATGAAGACTGTTTATTGATAAGCAGGCTGAGAGACAGTGTCACACAGCGGAACCAGAGTCAAACACTAGTCTGACTGAAACAAGTGTCCCTAACCACCACCCTGGTGTACTGAAATGCAGCCTGAACCACACGGAGGAAGTACACCAAGAGTAGGAGCCAAATGGGAATGCTTGTAGACTGGAGTGGTCAGAACAACCTCCAGTGGAGGACCTGGGCTTTGAATCAGAAGCTGGAGAAAACTCGGACCTAAGTTAGGGAGAAGAAAATTTCTCAGATTTTAGCAAAAGAGTTGCAGTAAGCCACATATTGGGGAATTAGAACAGGTAAACAGAAATCAAGAGTCTATCATCATACAAGGCTTATCACTTGTTTTGCTTTAAACAAGCAAGGCTTGTATTTTATTTTTCTTTTGCCAACACAAGAAATTTGATACCAAGAACTTAGAAAAGTTCTTAAGAAATTTCATATTAGCTGGATGATAGAGTGGAAAGACACAAGAGAAGCTGCTAACAGTGGTTAGTTTTGGGAGAAAGAATTAGGAGTTAGAAGCAAAGGAGAAGGAGAAATTACACTTTTTATTTTCTAATCTTCTATAGAGTTTGAATTTCTTCTTAACGATTTTCATATGTAGTGTATTTGTACAATATTCACCCAACTTAACACTGGCTTACTATAGTGAAGAAAAAAGAAGAAAGGAAAACTTTTATTTACTTTATACACTGTTGATAAGTTTTGGCTGAGAGTCAGGAAAACTGTTTTTCACTGACACATTATTTAACTATGCACATTTTCCTTTTACAGATACCCAGGTGTTCTTTCTGATGTCCAGGAAGAGAAAGGCATTAAGTACAAATTTGAAGTATATGAAAAGAATGATTAATATGAAGGCATTTTCTGATTTATTTCAAATTGTTCTCTTCCTCTCCAAAAAATTATGTATTTTAACATTAGAAAAAAAGACTATTGACTTTAGATCTGTGGATGATTTTTTCTAAGAAGCTTTTCTTTTGTTTGTTGGTTTTTCTTTCATCACTCCTAATGGACTATATCAGACACCATTTGTGAAACATCTCTTGCCATAACTACTAAGTGTAGTGAAAACCATCAAGGGCCAGGACTGGCTGTATACCTGCCTAGGGTGGCATACCTACAAAGACAGCCAAAGTAAGAGAGTCCCCTGGGAGCATGAAATGAAATCAGGGCCCATAGAGATAGAGCGAGACAGATTAAACAAAATGGTGGGAATCCATTACAAACAGAAGAACAGCAACTTAGATTTTAAATGAAAATTATATCAAAATAGGGACTGTGAATTATTCTGAGTAAATCATACTTCTGATAAAAGTTCTGTTCACCCGGACAGGGTATGAGTGAGTTGAGAACTCCAGTATATTCAGTAGGGACGGTAAAAAGGCAGGTAGAAGACTAACGTTTTGATGGTAAAAAAGAGAAGAAAACGTCTGAGACCTTTAAAAATTCTGTTTTTGATCTTCGATGAAATTCCACGGGATATCACAATGAGAGAACAAGAATAGACTGCTCTCTTTTCAAAAAAACAAAAAGGAATCTAATAGCAAGCATAATGGCTAAAATTAAAAATTCAAAGAAGTAATGAATTAAGAATGGATATTGCTAGAAACCAGAATTTAAGTTAGAAAATAAACTTCACAAAATGAAAATTAAAATATTTTTTACCCATTATGTTGGCAAAGATTAATTATTATGATATCCAAAGAAATAGCTTTTTTCTGTATTGTAAATTATTACAACCATTTTAAAGTATAAATTAACAATATCAAAATTCAAAATGTTCTGGTTTTGAACTCGGAAATTCCACTTCTAGAAATTAATTTTGAACCAAGAGATGAGCTCAAGAATATGTATTGCAGCATTTTTTAAAGCTTGGAAACAGCCCAAATGTTGATCAATAAATGATCAACCTATATATATAATTTAATATTCTACAGCAGCTAAAAAGAGTGAGATACTGACAGAAAAATGCCAAAGATTGCTAAGTGAAAGAAGCAAATTGTGTACAGTACCCAGAATTTTTAATAAATATTAGTATGTGTAGAAAAAATATGTAGTGCTGGTTGACAGTAGTGATGTTGGAGATGTTATTTTCCTCATTGGGTATTTTTATTATGATTAGCATTTGTGAAACTTTATTTTCATGGAAAAAGAATTATTTAAGATAATAAATTGGGCCCTTATGTTCAGCAGTAAAAATTAGGATGCAGAACATCAGGAGTGAAGAGTACTTTCCTAAAATCTCCTATAGCAGTGGGAAAAAAAGCAGGTCACACAAAGAAATAGGAATCAATGGACTGCATAGGATTTACAAACCACAAGAAAACAGTAGTGCTATCTGCCATGAATATAACCAGAAATATTATCCAGAATTTATAGAACTCGACACTCAACTGGCCAATAAATATATGAAGAGATGTATATTCCCACTAGTGTTTGTTGTTTTTTGTTAGGTGCCATCAAGTCAGTTCCGACTCATAGCGACCCTATGTACTACAGAACGAAACACTGCGCAGTCCTGCACCATGCTCACAATCGTTACGCTTGAGCCTATTGTTGCAGCCACTGTGTCAGTCCATCTCGTTGAAGGTCTTTCTCTTTTTTGCTGACCCTCTACTTTACCAAGCATGATGTCCTTCTCCAGGAACTGATCCCTCCTGGTAATATGTCCAAAGTATGTAAGATGTAGTCCGGCCACCCTTGCCTCTACATCCTTGCCTGTACTTCTTCCAAGACAAAGTTGTTTGTTTCTTTGGCAGTCCATGGTATATTCAATATTCTTCGCCAACACCACAGTTCAAAGGCGTCAATTCTTCACTAGTCCTTAGGCATATGTAAATTAAAACCACAGCAATGTACCATATCACACCCATCAGGTACGGCATTCTTACCAATACTTGACATTATCAAACTTCTAAATTTTTGGCAGTACTTAATAAGATTGAAGATGCGCATACCTTTCAACCTAGCTGTTCCACTCCTGGGTAAATACCAAGAGAAAACCTAGATATGTACTGGGTGATTTGTAGCAGAATGTTGCTACTTATTTGTAATAATGCAAAATTGCAAACAACCTGGAAACCCAGTAACAGGAAAATGAGCGTATTACTGTCTTAGATTGGGTTCCCCCTAAAGCAACCCAGACTAGAATTTGAGTGTAAGTGGTTGAGTCGGAATAGACTCGACGGCAACTAACAACAATACCACAAAGCATCCAATCCGGGCGTGGAAAAGTAAAACTGGGAAGGTGAGAAAGCCAGTTCAAGGTCAATGAGCAAATTCCCATTAGATAACAGGCTCTATCGTGCTGTGACATCTGTGACATGAAGGGGAAGGAAGCTAGGGTATTTATCATCCACTCATCAGTTTGAGAACTGTTCCCAGAGTTGTCAACTCCCTCCCCTGCCTATGGGCTGAACACATTCTAGCAGCTACAGAAGCTCTGCAGAGTCCCAGGTGCTTACAGTAAGAAGTTGTAGGTGTGCACAGGAACAGTGATTGCTCAGGGAATATGGACAGGCACTAACAACATTTGCTATAGTCTGTTCCTTTCAGTGGAGCCCCTGGGTGGTGCAAATGATTAATGCACTCAGCTACTAACTGAAAAGTTGGCAGTTCACGTCCACCCAGAGGCACCTCGGAAGGAAAGGCTTGATCTACGAAAAGTCAGCTATTGAAAACCCTATGGAGCACAGGTCTACTCACACACATGGGGTTGCCATGAGTCAGAATCAACTCGACGGCAACTGGATCCCTTCCAACACTTAAATCCTCTTGTGCCCAACATTAAGTTCACTCTGTCCTGTCACTGGTTATTCAAAGTAATGGCTAACCGCTATTCAAAAAAAAAAAAAAGACTAGAAGGAGAGTGAGACAAACCTCAGTCCCTGCTGCTGTAGTTGACACAAGGCCATAATTAATATTCATCATCTCCCCCTTACTCTCAGTGAGCACTTCTGCTGGTCTAGGTTGCTTCCCTGGAAAGGTAACTCAGACCTTCATCCCTGAATGATCTGAGCCTCTGATCACCGTGCCTTTGTTAGTCATGGTTGCTGCAGTTGCCTGATCCCTTATCTTGGGGAAAGGAAGTACTCAAAGGCCCACCAATACGTACTGAGTTCCAAACTTATTCCTCCCTTCCCCCATTATATCACAGCAGGAACCATGTCTCCTATCGTCAGGGTCAATTATTTCTACTTGTGTATCTATTCCTTTCTTTGCCTCCTGGTCTATTCCTGTTTCACGTGAAAAGCCAAAAATGAATAGGTAGCAGCTTTAGCTGAATTCCGGTAACATTCCCCATCTTCTTCTCCAGAAACCAAGACTCTAGTCCTACAGATCCTAAAGCTGCAAGGATAACTTGTATGGACACCCTTTTAGCTCAGTAATGAAGTCTCGTCTCTCCTGAGGTTCACCCTTCAGCCAAAATTAAACAGGTCCATAAAACAACATGAGACTAAAGGAACACACCAGCCCAGGGGCAAGGACTAGAAGGCAGGAGGGGATAGGAAAGCTGGTTATTGGGAACCTAAGGTCGAGAAGGGAGAGTGTTGACATGTCATGGGGTTGATAACCAATGTCACAAAACAGTATGTGTACTAATTGTTTAATGAGAAGATAGTTCTGTAAACCTTCATCTAAAGTACAATTTAAAAAAAAGAAAAATTTGTCCAAAGAAAAGAAACATTCTCCTAAGTGGATCATTGGAAATAATGGTGAGAAGGGCCAATCATACTTCTTTAGTTCTGAGACCTGGGGACACAACATAATATGGCATTAATTCAGAATATATACCACATATGAAAGACAGCACCCCAACTCTGAAAAATGTTAGCTGGAACCTTAACTGCACCAGTAAGAGGCCATCCAACATTCTTCTAGGTCAGCTCCTCCAGGTGATATGCCTAGTAGGATAAGAGAAGTGGATTTTATGGTCATGTGCCCACTGTTTTTCCTCCTTTGCTGTAAGTGGGCTCCTTGGTCCTGGGGGACATGTATGATCCCAGGCCAATAAATCAGACACTGTGAGCCTTTGGAGAGTGGTGCTCACCTAGGAAAAACCATACCTTGAATACATATCTGTCCCAGTAAGGACAAATTCTTCCCTACAGAGTGCCAGGGGTTGATGAAATCAACATGCCAACAAAAGGCTGGTTAATCTCAAGGGTTGGTACTATACTGAGGGTTCAGCATACTGCTGACACTAAACTGTCTTTCAGCAACAGCAGTACTAGATCAGTTTTAGTAAGAATGAGCCCCTACTACTGGCCATACATGTCCTCTCCCTGACATCATGACTACTCCCTATGTGGGTCCATTGTACAAGCACTAAGATGGCTGAGAACAGAGGTTGGTGTCCACTGGATGAGTCATCTGTCCACCTAGCAGTTCAGTGTCTCCTCTGTGGTGGGTGCTTTCTGGTGGGCATTGATGTGAGACACTCTCATAGGTCCATCCACATGCCTCTTCCCCACGCCTTGTTATCTCCAACCTTTCAATCTTGCTCCTTTGGTTCCTGACCAACCAGCTAAGTAAGGATTCACCATTGCCCAGGAATGTGTGTGTATCCTCACCTCAGGTCACTTTTCCCTCCACACCACGTTGATCAGGTGTTCTGCTCAAAGCTCTGCCCACTGGGAGGATTTTCAAGGGAAAATCCACTGTTATTTGGGGCTACTGTTGGAAATCTGGTGCAGCAGCAATCTATTTTCAAACAAAACCAACATAATGAGCTAAGTATTCTGTGTAGCAGGCTTGAGGTTTTGTTTCTTCCTCCATCAACTGGTTTTAAGGAACCCCTGGAGGAATAGATTTGAGCTGAGGGAGAGGTATTAGTACAACAGTGGAAAGTGATGTGGGGATCCAGGGCACTTTTTGGGTAACTTGTGATTTTTCACATGTGCTTAAGTCAATTTCCAAATGTACCATCCATTTTCATCATATAATAGATTACTACTCTGCCCATTCAACTTTAAGACCTGCTTATAATGGGCAGCTCCAGCACACAGCTACTTGTCCCCTGGTCAGACACTCAGTCTCTACTAGGGCCTAGTAGCATACCAAGACCTGCCTTTCATGTGATGAATAATTCTCTGCTGCAGATGACATGACTTTGCTCTAGAGCTCTAGGACTCTGCCCTGTAACTTACCGCATGAGATTTTTGTCTACTGCAGATACCTCTAGCACCATCAGGTCTGTTGGGCCATATAGTTCAAATAGTAAGGCCACTCATACTGCAGCCTTAACCTATTGTTAGTCTTTTGCTCTGGGCCCCACTCAAAACTGACAGCCCTCCAAGTAACCAAATGATTCACAAAATGATGCTTGTCCTCAAAATCTGCCCCTACTCCCTTTCATTGCTTCTAGATTAATAACTAGGTTCAAGGCTCATTATGACCTAAGCAGGAAGTGATGTCCCTGTAAAGGAAGACAAGGATTGTTCCCCTAAAGAGTTACAGGTCCTGGCTAATTGTCTTTAGCTGCCATGGAGTCCACTCCCGACTCATAGGAACCCCATGTACAATGGAACGAACGCTGCCCGGTCCTGTGCCATCCCCATGACCAGTTGGGGGTAAGACCCTTGTGATCCAGAGGATTTTCATTGGCTGATTTTCTGAATCAAACCTGTTCTCCCGCATTGAAGGCAAAAGTGCTACCACTGAACCACCACTGCCCCGACTTCTAGCTAATTAAAACAAAAAAAAGTTGCCGGAGAATCAATAACGACTCATAGTAACCCTATAGGTGACAGCATATTAGCCTGGAAATGTATCTTGAGTCTGGACCAGGAAAGGAGAAGGGGTGAATATAAGACTATACAGGGGTGAGTTTATTGATATAGAGGCACTCTGTTGTGATAAAGAATTTAAAATCCTGGTAAGGGTGCCTAGAACTATCGTATCACACTGCTAGTATGCCTCATTATCACTTAGAAACAACCATGGCTTACTGTAAACAAGGTGAGGATACCAGAAATTCTTTGGCAAACTACTGAGAAAGGGGTCAAAATGCTCAGAGGATTGGACATGTTAGAACAGATTTACAGTTTCAGACAGAGAACCCAGTAGCTGACAATGGAGAGCCCAGAGTTCCCTCCTTTCACTAAAAATAATGAGTGCTTATGGGGGAGGGGTGGGGAAGGCACTGGCATGATTGAAAGGGTTGGTGGAGGCCATCCTCTGTAAGTCAAGTAGGAGATGCTCCTGAGTAAATAGGCTCCCAGTGGGGATGATGGAATTCTGTAATAGCAGAGGCAAGACCAGAATGGCAACCGGGTAGTCTGGACTTGTGGGGATCTGAAGGGATGGCTAAGAGACCATTGTATTTCTATTGAAGAGAGAGATTGGACACCAACAAAAATATTGCTTGATTTAGATAACCAAAAAGTTCAAGAATGGGTGAGAAGGCTGACATCAGCCTCCACAATAGAAAATCACAATCCTGAAGCCACTTTTAATTTGCATAACCCATGACCCC